TTTGAGAAAGAGGCAGCATGATTTGTTCCTTTCTTCCAGCACTGAACATTCCCATAAGCCAGCCATTCTTGGTGCAGCATTATGGAGAAGTTGGTCATGACTGCGTGGTACAGTTTAGTTTATTCTGAGCCCAATTGTATTTCTTTCTGTTTATTTCTAGGATTATAGAATACAATGAACTAAAAGCTTTTTTGAGTGCTTTGTGAGGTCTTGTCTTTTGATCATCTGTGATTCATTTGTAACTACCGCAAGGCTGAGCACTAAGGTCATTGGAGTTGAAGGCAGTTTTTATTCAAAAGGGATTTTTCAAGTGAAGAACGACTGAAATTTTATAGACTAGTTTTCTCGAAGATAGGAGGGGACTCAACTATGCATGTTTCATTGGATTAAAAAATGTTCAGTACCAGTTTAAATTGCTGTAGACTAATAATGGGCTTGTATCATCTGTAATGTTCATAAATTGAGTTTTGCCGTAATATTTGTGTGAACATACAACTCATTATTGGAATGACTAATTGAAATATTGAATATACATCTGTTAGGCAAGCTAAGGGAGGGGGAATTTTTCTGCCATTGAAAGGTAAACAGTAATTTTTATTTTGCCTACACTTGTAAAATAGTCTAAGCTTTCTCATGTTACTTTAATCAGAGAAGTTATCTGCACATAACTCAGTTTTATTTTTTGCAGAGTTGAGTGTAAATTTTTGAACTTTTTTTCTGTATGATCTTTGACTATCAGTACTGGTGAGACACATCATTAAAAAAAAAAAGTAAAATGAGTAATAGGAATTCTGTCTACAGAGCTTTTATAGTGCGAACGGTTGTAATTTCTGTTAGCTGAGACCAACAATCAGCTAGCTGTTTACCAGTAATTCAGTTTATGCAGTTGAACTCATTAAGTGTCAGTAGATAACGTTTTACGTCTATCTGAAAGATGTATTTCTTCCCATACCTCATGTGAAACTTATTTTCCCACTGACAGTTTCTGCGACACTTTGTAACAGCTCAGGTAAGCTGTTCATTCGTCCCCAATCCTTTTTCTGCAAAAAGCTGTGTGATAATTAACTGTGTTTGAATGTGTAATTCAATTTATGCAGTATGAATATGCTGACTGCTTTGGGGGGGACTAATCAGCTTTTCATTGATGGAGAAAGCTCAGATTTTACTTTAGATAGACAGGCTTAGTGTCTGGGACTTTATACCTGGACAGTACAAGCAAATCCAATGTGATGCTATTTTTCTCATCTGTAAGTTAGTGAAGAAGTTTGAGACAAACAGTCTAAACAGCAGCATGAGAAGATGGTTTGTGAATTGAAATCTCATTTTCAGTGACTAGTTGCCTTTTTTTACAGTGTTGTATATAGCACATGAAACTATGTTCAAAAAGGCATTTAGGATTATGTGCAGTTAGTATACTGTCAAAAATCTGTTAAATGCTATATCTACCAAGTTTGATCCCATATTTCAGTAACAGAAATTTTGTGGTGTTGCATGCTGAATGGGAGTACAGGGGGATAAGAACTGGAAAGTATCTCTCTTCCCTGTCATTGCAATGTAGCTAAGAGATATTCCTGTTTCACAGGTATAAAACTGAAACACAAAGACACTGAGTTTACTTCTTAGGTATGTGCTAAGCATTAAGAATGTAATCATCTGCAAATGCCTTCATGTTTATGTGCTTAGGTGTAGCTAGTGAGTCTGGATAATTAATGCCTGAGTTAAAACTCCTGGCTGATTTCAAGAGATTGTATCAAGCCCTGAATGAATTTATAGTATAGTAGGAGGAACTCTGCAGAACAAACTATTGGTCTGGTGTCCAACTGCAGTCCATGGACATGTCTGCCTTCTTGCCATAACCAAAAAATCATGACTACAGATTTTCTGTCCCATGTGGTTAAGGATCCAACAGCTGGTACCCCTGTTTTGCAATAATGAAATATGGATTCACTCAGAAAGCTGAGTACTGCAGGTGTTCATCTTATATGTTTGGATTAAAGTTACTGCTAAATTACTTTTTGAAAAGGAGAATAAAAAGGTTATTTTGAAAAATAGTGAAAATTATGCAAAATACAAAATTAAGAAACTCTACCTGACAAGTGGAGTCGCTAAAAACAGAGTATTGTTATGATCTTCAGGATATGATGTCCTGAAACAGTTAACTAACATTAAAGATACTTAAAGACTATGTGTTAACAGATTGAAATGAAGTGCTCAGAGATTATTTATAAGATGTGGAACATCACCCACAATGTGTCTATCACAGATGGAAAAATGAATGTATTGACAAGTATGTAGTCCATTGGATAAGTTTATAGACCTAAAATGCTACTCAAGATTGCCAGAAATTAGCAGTTTCTCTCCAGTACTGGATGTGAATTATGTTAGGCAGAAGCAGAAATCCCAATAGGCAGGCAATTCTTCATTGCTTGTGTATCAGAAGAAAGTAATTTACTTTGTTTTTCTAAGAATGTGACTGTGAAATTTGTTCCTGAAACATTAGCCTGACAGCACGGTGTAGTTCTAACTTGTGTATTTGGTAGAGATGAATATATACCACATTTTCATTTCCTTCCAGAATGAATGTGCTACAGAAACTTGCCATACATGATCAGATTTCGGAAGAGTCAGTGCTTGGTTTGCAGCGTGCTTCCAGGCTCTTAAGTGTGCAGGTTATTTCATGTCTTGATGATACTGTGCGTGTTTAGACTGATTTGTTTTCATTCAGTCATAAGAAATAGCACGGACTAAAGCGATCTTCTGTGTGCTCAGAGAGGTACCTGCACAGCCTAGATTTTCAAAGAAATGGAATGGCTGTATTTGAGAACAGGTTTTTATTCTTGTAGTAGCTCATAAAAGTTGCAGACAAGTACTGGCAGCCAACTAAACATTGGAGTTTTTCACATGTTCACTGGAGGAAGAACATGCTCGTATTCTAGAATACTGAGGCAAGACAATGATTTTAACTTTGCTCTCATCGTCTGTTGTGGCCACAGATGTGTTGGCCACTCCCACAGGTAAATGTTCTCATACTACTAGAATATGTGGTGCCTACTTAATGACCATCTGTAATGTTCCTCGATTTGCAGTAGAAGTTACTGGTGTAGTTAGTGAAGCCAAGATCTAGGCTTGCATATGAACGTGAATCATTGTAGCGTCTTCACACTTCCCTGTTATTCCAAGCAGTACAAATGCTATGCTCTTTTAGCAATGAATACAGGGCAAATTAAAATTTGGAAACCACCACCGTTGTTTTTGGCCATGTGCATGTACACAAATTGCTCTGTTCAGACAAATGGAGTTTGGGAAATGATGATGTAGTATGTAGTAACTTTCTTAGGCTGTAGCGGTCTATATTATTTTATAAGAGGATATAACTAGTCAACTTACACAGCAATTTTAATAATATGATTTGTGTCAATACAGTTAATGTAGTGTCTGAAAGCAAGAAGTGAAAAAATAATTAAATGTAGTAGACAGCACTTTTTCATAAAGTTTTTGTCTGGGGAGCATAGGATTTAATTGCTAAAGCTGGTTAAGTGTAAAATTAATTTTAATATGGCTTAAGTGAAACGGTAACTTTGATATAGTTGAAAAGTGAGTTAAAGAAACCACTGGCTACTTAGGTTATGCTTTCAAGTTTATAATCACATTTTATTAAAGTTCTTTGATACTATGCCTCCTAATAATGCCTCCTTAAATTGAAATGCTGATGTTAAGGGAAGTTATTTATTTTAATGATGCTACATTATGGAATTTAAATGGATAACTATTGATTGTTAAGTACTGAATGTGTGTTTAAAAATTAACAGTGTCTCTTTTAAACATACTACAGGAAATACACACAGAAAAACATTGTGAGTAATAAGTGTTTTGTCCCATCTACCTTTTGACAGGAGAATTAGATGACAGAGAACAGGCAAAGCTGGAAGTAAAAGTATGGGATCCAGATAGCCCCCTTACTGACCGTCAGATTGACCAGTTTTTAGTTGTAGCACGGTAAGATTAAAATCCTCTAATAAAAAATTCCTTTTCCTTTTACTATTGACTATTTATTCCCCTATATCGTGTTAATCAACTTGCTTGCCATTTTGTGAGCCCTTCTCTTTCGCACAGTTAGCTAAAAAAGAAAATCAGACCATTACCTTCTGCATATTCTTTGAAGCTACCAATACGGAAGAGAGAAAAAGACAGTGAGTTTTGGAATAATGCTATGCTGACAGTATTCAAGTTACAGTAGAATTTGATACTTAATGTAGACATTGTTCTGTTTTCCCCTCAGAGTAAATGAAACAGGATTTCAGTGCTAATATTTAAGTCTTGTATTACAGTACTTGGAATTTCATAGTGTAAAATAAAAATTAAGACTAGAAATAGAGAAAATGTTAACAAATTAAAAGGATGCAAAACTTGCCCGATTTGCATATGAACTGAGTAACATACGGTGGAATTATTTTGGATGAATGTTGAAATAAAAGTTTTGAAGTGATGTATTTCATTAGTGAAAAAAATCTGGGCAGTTGAATTTTATAAATTAACATATGATTATGTAGATTTATAAGAGGAACATCAAAGCCTTTGGAATTAATAAATACCTTTAAGAATAATGTCTCTACTTTAAAAAAAAAAAACCTTGCAAAACTCTTGCAAAACTCTGTAGATTTCTTAGTGAAGGACAACTCTAAACTCATAACCTATAGCATGTTTCGCCTGTCCTGTCATTCATACTTACAAATACAATACAAAGGTACAGTTCTAATGATGGCAGAAAACTGTTAATCACAGCTAATGCAGGGATTTTATCCTGATTCACTCAGTCTCCTATATCTTCTGTAACCTGGTTGCAGAATGTAGTCTCAAATCTTCTTAGGCAAATAATACTTTTATGTTGTTTCTAGTTTTTGTTCTTTATTCTTTCATCCTTTTGAACAAAGCATTTCAGGAAGGAAGTGGAGAAGTTGCTTTATATTTTCCAGCTTGTGTGTGGTGAAATAAGTTGCAGATTTATTTTTTTACAGTTGGATGCTGATCCACCCGTTTCTTCTTCCTCTCCCATTTTGTAGTGCTGTATCCTTTCCATACAGTAGTAAAAATTACGTGCTCCTGTTGAATTTCCAGACAAGCCAGAAGGCGTATAGGTGTGAACATACATCTTGTCAGAAGATCGCAATGCCTGGTAGATGCTCCATAGAACAGACCCAGAAAATTGAACTACTTCTATCACCACAAATATAATACCTGGGCATGTGTGGGCAAATTGTTATGAGGTGCCTTAAAAATGCTCTCCGTATGAAGATTACGTACATTTTTGGAGTTCATTCAGTGCCTTCGAATCCCTCCACTCCACGTTTTGTAGCCACTCTGGGGAGCTGAAGTAGTACACTGTGAAGCTGAAAATGTTTTAGAGGAATGTACCAGCAAGCGGTCTGCTGGGAAGTGGCAAACATTTTTAGAGAAAAACATTCTTCTCTCTCCTTCCCCTTATTTAAGAGATCCTGTGCAATGCTGTGCTCTGACCAAGACCGCATTTGTTTAGAAGTTGATAATTTTCTGTGAAGAAGGTTTCTGTTCTGGTGGGAATGGGTCTTAGTCATGGCTGACTAATTGTAGCTATCCAAGATCTTGTGGTAGGCAATCACTAATGACCGTCTGCAATCAGATGTTACTTGGGTACTACTTTATTGATGTTCTTTCACAAAACTCAATTTATCTTTGTAAGTTGCTTTTGAACTGACAGAAATTATTTCCAAGCTCCCGTATACTTGTATTCACAAGCTACAAGATCATATTTCAGTTCCATAAAGTGCTTCTGGGATAGATTTTCACCAATTTCTGGAGAAACAGTTCTCCTATGGTGATTGTGGCAGCTTTAAAATCAGTATGCTGTGTCCTTCCAGGTAAAAGCTTTCATTATACTGGACCATTAAAAGTTGTGTGAGTTAACAGTGGAGTTGGTATTATGATCTGGCAACCTGTGCTTACAGCAGAGCTAGCTTTGAAGGCTGTGGCTCAACTGCAGATCACTGGGCACTGGCTGTGCCTGCTGGGTTTCCAGTGAGAATGAATGGTATTTCTCTGGTTTCTGGAAGTTATGTTTAGTTTTGCAAATTTGAAATTCTGACACTTGAGAACTCCTTTGTAGATGCTTTCCTATATGTGATTTTGGTTGAGTGTGTATGTGCTATCTGTATATGAAATTTTAAAAACATTTTTACGTGATCCTTTTTGCATGCTGCATCAAAGGCATGGAGTATTTCTTCTCAGTTTTTTCAGTCTGCTCTGTTGAAGGAAGAGTTGCTTTTGTCCTTATGGGCTTTAGCCCTTTCAATCACACAAGCACGCTTTGTTGGTTCTTTAGAAGGTATTTAAAATACTCTCTTTTTCTATTTGTATTGCCCATTTGCAAAAACATTTATATTTGGCCTCAGGCATGTAGCTTTGCCAGTCTTACAAGGTCTGTGTAGTGTCTCAGGAACAAGGGGCCTTTTTTCTAGTTCATATGCTTGGTCAGTCTGGGCCTGTCACTAAGCCCTAGTATGCAATAATTTGCTGTATATAAAGGTAGAAGAATATGCCTATCCTGTCCAGAAATTGGAGGTAGCAGTGCCAGAAAAATCTATGGAGATCTTGAAAAAAAGGGTAAGAGTACTTGAGCAGAAAGATCCTTAACCTTGAGCTCCCTAAGAAGTCTTACTTGACTCTGTGGATTTACAAATCTCGAAAGTACCTTATTGTTACTCCTGAAGCATAATTTGGGCAAGGGCTCTTGCTTGAACTAGCAAAAACATCTGTTAGGAGAAGCTTGAGGCATCAGACTAATGTATTCTGGTTTTTAGTTTTTTGGGTAGTGCACTGTTATTTATACTCTGGCAAAGATAATTCCAACACCATTTTCTATTCCATTCAAATAAGATACAGCTTCATCAACTAATTTTTATTCTGTCATATATATTGGGAACAGTTCTGTGTCTAACATTTTCCAAGAACAGGACTCTGAGAAGCTGCAATAGCAGTTTAGATCTGTCCACATGAAAATTGTATGTACATTTAGAGTTAGCTTAAAAATAAAACTGCTCAAATCTGGTCCTGTGGACTAAATATCAATAGGATACATGAACCATAACAGAAATCCAGTTTGTGTTCTACAGGATATCTTTTGATGTTGGTTAAAGTGCAGTAGATAAAGTTGCTTTGCAACTCCATTTCTAATTTGAAGTGAAACACTGATGTAAATGCATCCTGTTTTCTCCAGACATCAGTCTCTGTCATTCCTAAAATAGAAGGAATACTTAATTTCCTTGTGAGATTTCATGTTCTGTTTCTAACTCTGGTCCAAGTTGCATAGTATTAGGAAATAGAAACTTTTCTGTTGTGTGTATAACATAATAGTCCTGTCCTTTTTTCGTAGTTTGTCAAGGAGTCAAAAATGGTCCAGACCAGACTCAAATGTGGTAGGAGTTGTGGGCTCCAGTCTGGACAGATGCTGAGAGGTGTAGACCTCACCCTTTTTTTTTTTTTTTTTTCCTTTTCCATTTTCTTTCTGTCTCTTAACTTAGTCTGTAAATTGTTACATTATAAGTTTTTGGTAGATTCAAGTTCTGTTTATGTACTTCATGATGCAGTGAAACAGTTAACAGCTTAGTTCTTTTCTGCTTCATCTAACTATATTATAGTCTTCTAGAAGGACTATAATCAAGCTATTTTCCAGACATTTGTGGTCCCAGCTTATTTCCAGATAAAATATAATTTTGAAGACTAATTAAAATAGCCTGAAAGCATTGCATCTCTACCTTAAAATTTTGTTCTTTAATTTCTTTGAAATTAAAATAGCATTGCACAACTCTGGCTAACGTAACGCATTTCTCTTAATTTGAATGTCTGCTTATTTTTTGGTGTAAAATCACAGAAAAATGGAAAATTGTGTTAGTCATTTTGAATTAGACCTTGATCTTTCCTGTGTTGTTGCCACTTTTCCATTTTCTCTAAGAAAGTGATTATATTAATTTCTGTTGGTTACTACTGATTTAGTTATAACTGCTCATGGTACAAGGAGGTGTATTTGTTACATAGATTTATCTTACAGTGAGGAACACAATGCAGCTTCAAAGCATATCTTCTGTCATATTGAGGAAAAGAATATACTCGTTAACTGAGAACAATAATTGAAAACATTTAAAAATGTGCTTAAATAGTAATTGTTCTTGCAAGATAATTCACTGTAGTCAGTGTCAGTAAACAATACTCCCAAAGCTCATCAATGAACATGAATACGTAAAAGTCACTGGTTTGGAAGCTTTAGTGTGCTTCTGGATTCTCTTTAGGTGAGAAACAAGAGGAATTGGAGTTCATTAAAGAGGTAATGACATTTAATATCAGAATTGCAACATAAAATCATGCTGTAAAGATGGTGAAAAATCTTGATGCCAATGCTGTACTCACAAAACTAGCTTTTTGCTAGAGAGATGAATTACCGCATCTAATGGTTGGCAGATGGTTTGGCAATAAAAAGGAAAAATATGTTCACATCAAGTTTACTAGTAGTATAAAAAATACTGAGTTTCTCTGCCTGTCTGTCATGCCTGGCCAATATGCCTTATTCATTTGTGTGTTTTGTGTTACTGCATTTCTTCTTGACCAAAGTAATTGGAAAACTAATTCAGACTTGGAGCTGAATCTCCTTTTGCATTTTTTCATGAATTTTGATCTATTGCATTATAAAGAAAAAACTGCAACAGTGTTTTCATGGACCTGCTTTTCAGGGGCTGTAAATCTCCTCTGACTGAAACTGCAGAGTGGAGTACAGATGATCTCTTAAATCATATCCTGTGAATTAAACGACGTGTGTATCAGATTCTGTTTCTGTTGAATAATAAGATTTCACATATATGCCATTTCTATATGTTCAGTAATTAAACTGAAGGTTAGTTGTGGTGCACAGGGTACATTATATGTAATGCCACCCTTTTTCCTAACTTTGAGTCTTTCAAAGACTAGTGGCAGGTGACTTTTCATGTTTATCATGTCATCTCCCTTTGTGCTCTACATATCTGAAGTGATAATAATGAAGCATAGCACTGTATAGACAGTTGCTTAGAAATGCAAGGAAATACGTCTTCTTGGAACAGCATAATTTCACTATGAATAAGTTCTTCATGTCAGATTTTGCATTATCCGGTAATAAAAATCTCAGGGGTGTTTTTGAACTTAAGAAGTATTTTTTTTTGCTTTCTTCTTTCCAAGACTTTAAGTATCAATAGACTCTCTTAAGGAGCAATCAGATTTTAATTGCCTGTTTGTAAAATGCTGTTACTGGTAGCAGTCTAGGAGGTCATCTTTTAGGACTGTTTCCAGCTCAGTGAAGAGGAATGTTAATGTGATAATAAGGAAAACAAAAAGCTTTCCTTGTATGCAGTAAACCACCAAAGGTACATTTAATTATTTCCCTCAAAACTGTTAACTCTGAGGTGAGGTGTAGGTCTCATTCATTAGTTTGCAAATATATGAGGAGAACTGTGAATTTGCAGATTCGTGTATGCACAGAGGTGGTTAACTTTAAACGGATTTGTCCAGAGTATAGACACTACTGATTTGGCACCACTGAAACAGAGGGTGAAAAAGAATGTATAAAAGTGAACAATTTTAAAATAAACATCCTCAGATTAAAAAGAATTTCTGTCTCGGCTGGATTTTTGAGAACACAAGGTAGAAGAAAATAAGAGAGTTACTATCCTGGATCCAGAACTTTCTGGATATGGTTTGATGCTGGACTGCTGTTGCTAGCAGGGAGACTAGTGACTGGTTTTATCCACTGTATAATAACAGTGGTCCCAGATTTTCTTTGGTAAATAACAGCCCTTTTCAGAGGGTAGATCGATGAGCAATTGAATCTTCAGAAATGTGTTATGATGGTCTCTTGTGTTTGCTGCTTCAGAATTTCATTGACTTATCACCAATACTAATCTTATGCAAAAATTTGAACAATTACTTCCTTTAATGTCTTAGACTTGAGTTATAAGAAATTTGGAGCCATGTATTTTCTCTGTTCAATACCTAATCTTATGTTTTGCTTGAATGTAGGGCACACAGGCATGACAAAATGATTATGAGCTACTTCATCCCTAGAGAGTTTGCTGACAGGGTTTTTTTGACACAGCTATTGTTGAGTTTTGCTGCATTTGTGGATTTGTTCCATTGTCTTAGATCCTGGCACCGGATTGTCTTGATTTGTTTTATGTTTGTATGGTTGTCAGCTGAAATCTCTGATCTAAGTCCTTGAGAGAAACTTGTTAGTTCTGGTCTTAAAACAAGGAAAACCTAATTAGGGTAATTTGGTCTAGCCCTTGAAGCTCTTATACCTGCTTGCTGATATAGCCTGTGCTAAGAGTGATCACTCTGCTGATATCACCAATTATTTATCATTGTTGTCCATCTCTCTGCCACCTGTGTAATTCATTATCTGTGTGCCTTTTGGCTTTAGGTTGTTTTGGGAGGTGTGGGGAGTGGTTTCTGTTTGAAGTCTCTGTGCTTTAATTTACTCGTTGAATAACTAATCTGTGACTAGCTTGCTTTTTTGTGGTTACATGAGATTATTACTGTTATTGAATTAAATATAGTTTCAGTTAAATACTTACAGTTATTCTTTGGATTCTACCAACTTAATGGAACACTTACATTAAAGAGTCTGCTTGAATGAAAAAAAGTGAGTAATTAGGGTCTGACTGCTCAGCCTGTGTGTGTTTAATACTGAGTTTTATTTTGGTAACAAGTAGGTGAAGACAATAGTGTGTCTTCTGGAAATAGGCATTGGTTAGTTATTTTTTCATTTCAGTATTTTTAAAGTAATTCTTTGATATTGTTAGAAAAAAAAAATCACACAAGGAAAAATGATAGAGGACATCTGATCTTTGTATCGATATGTTCCTCATACCTGCATTTTAAATGGAAAAACATAAAAATTAAGGTATTTTAATGATTTCTAAAATTAATACTAAATTTGTATTTGGGCTCCATGGCTATCCAGAGCACTGTATATTACTGTTGAGTCTATTTCTATTTAACAACCAAATGCTCTAGAATTCCTGTACTTGTTTGGATTGTCTTAAAAATTCACTGTTTGTCAAAGGTTTCCAGGGAAACGTGAACTGGAAATGACATTGCTTTCAAGATATAGCCACAGACAGACACACTGCTGTCCCCCCTGTCAAAATGGCACATGGCCTGTGTTTTATGGTGATTCTTACTTGTTTTGCACTCATGTACCCCAGATTCCCACGAATCATTCCTCTGACAGTTGTGAGTCTCTCCTACTCAATACAGCAGTGGAAGCAATATCAACTAGTGCATCAATTCTTACCTCTTTATCACTTGTTTGAAATAAACCTAGCTTTATATTGTGTCTTCATTTTGACATGCTGGGCAACATAATTCACATATGTTTGGGCTCTGAAGTCAGCCTAAAAAGTTTGATGGCAGCTTGATGTGCTAGAGAGTGCTTTGTGAGGACATACTCTGTAGTTTCCATAGCATACTCTGATTTTATCTGAGAAATATGGTCAGAAGAAAATAGTGTTAATTATGCAAAAGGAAGATAAGCTAGTAGGTAGCAGCAGAAGGGAATTGGTTTGAACAGTAGCAACAGAAGGATTACATGAAAGACTGTTTAGCTACAGCTCTTATCAATGCCAACATGTTTAAAGGGGTTGACTGATTATCAGGAAATGTTCACAATAGAGTCTTTTTCTTACACCGATTTGTGGACAAATACTGCTTTATGTACTGCCAAACTTTTTAAAAAAGAAAACAGAATGTGTATTTGTGTGTTCTTGTCACATATTTGCTGTCTCTTGAAAGAGGGAGCAAACGTTGTGGAACAGCATTTGAATATAACTTATTTATTCCACAGCCTTTAGAAATTTAAGCAGATAATATCTGGAGTGTGTGAATCACTGCTGTTGAATCTTGACTGTGTCTTGTAAGTTTTGGGCAGCGAGTACCGAAACATGCATTCAGTATTAAATGTTTTGAGACTCAATATAAAATTGCAATAACAGTTTCTTCATGACCAATGATATACCTTAGCGAGTGAAAATCTTGGTGCGCATTACATTATCTTACTGTTGAATGTTGGGTTTGTAGTAGTCAGTAGTGTGACACAGTGTGTTGCTGCTGTCAGTGTGACATTCCTCATTAGTATAATTCTGTGCTTACAACTTGTGTGAAATGTAACTGCTGAATGAGGCTCCAGTCCGTAGTCCAGAGGCTTACACTGTATTAAAAATGTCAAGTCAGTAATTGGATCTTTGAATTTAGAAGGACTTACGTTGTAACTGTGACAAATCATTTTTTTCTAATATCATAGTGACACAACACACTTCAGGAGTCATTATGCAACTCTGGGTACTGGAGCAGCTCCTGTTCTATTAATTAATAATCTTTCTCATGTGTTCTTGCATCTTTGCTCATTTCCTCTATGATACGCTGAACCCAGTCAAATTTTCTTGTGTATCTTTCCCTTCACCATGTATGCTGTATCATAAATGTGCTTCCAAGTTAAGTTTGCAGTTTAGCACAGTCACTGTCACACTAATTCTCCACCTCTATTCCTTGTATTTTGTTGCTCTGGTAAGTCTGATAAATACCATGTACAATACATCAACAAAGGTGCAACAAAAAGGTAAAGGTTTGGAGAAAAATTCTTCCAGTTCAATAATGCTGGAATGCTTTTATTAAGTAGACTGAGAGATCCATGAATTTGATCATTACAGAAAACTTGTGGCAAAAATATGGTTTTGGAGGTACCTAATACTAAGCTCATATGCTTTCTTTGCCTTACTAATGGAAATAGTGGACTAAAGTGGACTGAAGTGACTAAAATGTTATTAATTTCGTCATGGGAACACGGTGAACCCCCTTTTTTAATTGTATTATAATTTGTTAAACAGTGTTTTGGCTTCTCAATTTTAAAAATAATAGTCACAATTGTAAATCCGAAACTGAGTGAGGTCTTTGACTTCATAATTAATAAAAAATTGGTGTGTTAGAATTCTCTTGAGTATCTTTTGTTCCCATGCTGTTGTTCTTACATGTAGGTTGTTACTTTTGAGGGAGAAGGTCAGAGTTTTTATGGCAGTGCTTGGTGATTTGTCTTTATCAAGTTATCCTTTGTTAGCAAAGATCTGAAATCTTAAGAGTAACAGTAAGTGACTTTTATTTTTAAAATAATGCTTTTATAGATATGACGTAGAGTCTGGCAATAAAAAAAGAGGTTAAATCTTTCTGTGCATTTACTGTCTACTATTTCTCTGTCCTAGTGCGGTTGGCACGTTTGCTCGAGCATTGGACTGCAGTAGTTCTGTCAGGCAACCTAGTTTACACATGAGTGCCGCTGCTGCCTCCCGAGACATCACACTGGTAGGTGACTTCTTAAAAACCCTACAACTTTTTTACATCTGTAAATTCAACCCTATCTATTACTTCTGTACTTGCTGTGCTCTGGGTATCTGTTTTCATTTAGATACCTCCGTGCCAGGTGACTGTGTATATTGTAGATAATCCTGTGTATTTTCTATAAGCATGTTGGTGCTGCCCTTGTAATCATACTGTAAATCATTTGACTGAAGCTGACATGTATTTAAATACCTCTTCATATGTGATGATTAATATAGCAGGGTGGATAATAACATATTGTATAGGGATTCACTTGGTATAGTTGATCAGTAGTGTGGTTTGAAGTATGTTGTAATAAAGCTGATTTAAATTTTTTAGATAAGATTTTGTACTTACTATATGTGTGTCTCAGTAAATTTTCTAAAGCATAAGCAGTCACACTTGGAAGCAACTTTTTGAAGAACATTTTACTTAGTATGTTCTTAGGATGTTTCCTTAGGTTGATAAAATTTTCACTGTAATATAAGTACCTGCATCTTTTAGAGAAAGTTAAAAGTATTATTACAGACTAAAGTTTTGTCTCTGTATATTCATATTAGCTGAGATGAAAAGAAGAGCTACAGTAATAAAAGTGTGACAGGAAAACTGTGAGAACAAAATCTTATTGTTTTGTAGAATCAAGTTTGACTTAGATTTCCAAAGACATCAGCAGGAGTTGTTTACTACTTTAAGTATTTGTGTACAGAATCGTAAAGACTATAATATAAGGCTAAAGTAGATCTGCTGTTCATCAGATATTTGAATGTTTGAACCAGAGGACACTCAGTGAAGCTAGCAGATCAGTTTAAAATAGTTAAAGTACAGCCTTGCACGGTGGAATTTAGGCACATGGCATTTTGTGGAAACGGACAATATCACCAGGTTAAAAAAGAGGTTAGAAAAATTACGGACCATGGGTCCATAAATGAATGCTGAGCAGAATAGGGATGTGTGTACCATGTAGCATTCCTAATTCCCAAGATTTTCAAATGGTTGTGAATGAAATAAGAATTGACCTCAAACAGTGGTTAGACTTACTTGCATATTTTCTTTAACTAGTATCCTTGGTGCTGCTGTCAGAGACAATATGCTTGGCTAGATGGATGACTAGTCTGATTCAGTAGGGTAGTTTTTACATTCCAGATAAAATATATTCATTAGTATTATGACAAAAGTATTTCATTTCTTACATTTTGCAGTGTACACAAAGGCTATTAAACAGGAAATGGATTTAGTCTGGACTATGGTAGTGTAGCAGTAAAGGCACTGGCAGAATGTAATGTTTTCAGTAATGCTCAAAATTAGTTTTCCGTTTCATGCTTGCTGATATGACCTTACCAACACAATTCTGTTCACATTAAGTGCTTTATTTTTTCCATCAAAATAGTTTAGTTTAACATTTTTCATTTTATTCAGGTTTCATTGGATTAAAACTTTCTAATAAATCCCACAGATTGCACATGCTACTTACTGTATTCAGTGATCAATGGAATAGATTCATCCTTATAGCAGTTTCTTCTTGTTTGAAAGTACATGTGCAGTGCTGCTAATAGAGAGATACATTTAGTGTTTGAGTGCCATATAAATGTTTCTTCATTGCAAATGATCCATTAAGTTCCATTACATTTAATGAATGGCATATTTTACGATGAGACACCAGAGGAGCCACCCCAGGTTTAATTATTATGTCTGTCTGTTCTCTCTCATTTTCCTACCCCCTCAGCTTTTTAAAACCCTTCTCTTGTGCTCTTTGGCAATGTTCTTCCTTCTAAGTTAAGAAAAGACATATTTGCCATTATAGTTGTTAATTCTTTCAGACATTCCCATGTTAATTGGGAGCATATTTTGAGCAGCAGTTAAAGTTAGTACAGATATTTGCAGAACTTGTGGTGTATCTCATTTATGCTTTGGAAGGGATGTAGATAGGTAATACTAAGAAAATTATGCCGTCTGTATTCTTAGTGCAAGGCAGATAACCCTTGCACCTGAAGTGCTATTAATGGGATTTCTGTACACCACACCTGTGGCTTTCCAGTATTCCTAATTAGTTGTTGCAATTAGAGATGGCTGTAAACAGACTGATAATAAAAAAAAAACCAAACAATGAATGCATAGGTTATAAACATGAGTGAATTCAGAGTGGATGTACATGTTAGGGAGGTCTTACAGGTTAACAGCAAGTGAGAGGCTACTTTCAGGCTTCCTTATTTTGAAAACATGGAGAAGGTAATGAGACAAGACAGGAAACTACCAATACTTTTGGAAAACCCTACTGGAAGACATGAAACAACGCATATTTACCTTCTTAGGTGATAGTAAATGTTCTTTTCTTACAGTGATAAAGACTTGTGAGACAAGCAACCAACTGAAACTTGCATTTCTGGCTTTCTCAGAGGCAATGTTTTATCTTGGGAAAATTGATCTCAGAGAAGAGAAGGAAACTAGGGGGACTTTCTGTTTCAGATTTCTAAACATCATGCAGTGCGTACGCTGACAATGAGAGCCGTTAAAGCAAAGCAGGCTGATGGGATCGATTGCTCCTTGTGGTGGACTTGTTTGGAGGAGCCCATGCTACTTTACTATGAGGAAGTAAATCTGGTTTTGTTTGTTTCCTTAAAATGAAATGTATGAACAGGGTTTTCCTTTGCATTTTGAACAACAACTCTTTAATGGATTTTATTAGATTTACATATATGTGGATCCCAAGATAAATGTGCTTAACATTTTATTGAATTATAGAATCCATATTCTGTTTCCAGTTTAAATGCTTTGTTTGAGGCAGTTCAGTCCAGTTGATTTAACTGACTACTGAAATTGCAGCTGTTTTGGGAACTCTTGTGTTACAGTGTGTTTGCAGCATGTCCTGTCATTCCCTTTCTTCTCAGCTCCATGCTGTCCGTCCTTGGCTTTTGATGGATAGTTTCTTCCTTCATCTGTTTAAATGTGAACTTGAAGTTCCCTCTGTGTGTGTGGCTAATACCTTTCCTCTGGTGGGTCCATTTGTCTGTGCTGGACAGTATGCTCTGGGGAAGAGTTCTTAGGGTAGGGTGGTTCTTGGTCTGTTCTTCAAGCTCCTATTTGGGAGTGGTAAGGCCAGGTCTTCCCAGCCTCCTGCTGCTTAGGTATCAGGTACCCGCTACTTTTTTCTTGCAGTCCTCTTATCCTTGGGTAAAGCAGATAAAAAGGAGATGCTCCAGAACTTTTTGTCTTGAATTCTAGTAATGTCTTCAGGCTGCTTTTGCTAGCACAGTTTACTCACTGCTGTGTGGGAATTTGATTGCAGGTGAGAGCTGACAAACCTGCAGAAGGCAGGGAGTGTTATTGTGGGAACTTCTCAGTGGTCTTCTGTCGCAGAACAGCTCAGAGAAGACAGTACTTAGCCACAGAATTCCTTATGAATCTTTTCTTTAGTAATATCATAGAAAAGCTTTATGGAATCACGTGTTTATTATAGATGGAAAAATGAACATAAGGCAAGAGCAAAATCCTGATTCATGGACTTGTGTTGTCATTTTAAAAAAAGCTGGTATCAATGAATAGATACAGACTTAGCTGCTGCTCAAAAAATGCCTGGTATGTACTGCCTTTCCACAAGGGTTGCAAAGTAAACCTTAGTAACACATACACTGTAAGTGTTTGATCTTTAGGCCAGGTTTACTCATTGTCTGAATGACAAGCAATAAACCAGTGGTTTCATTTTACATTCTCTGATTTCAAGATTATGGTTTTTAGACATTCTGTTATGTATTTCCATATTGGAATACTGCATTTTAATAGCTTTTTCTCAAGGTGGGCGAATTCAATTTGAACCATACGTGAAACAACATATTGTAGGATATTAGTGACCTCACTTCTTGCAGACAAAACAGTTCAATAATATTGTGCTTGATAGCTTTCAAAGAGGTGTATTGAAAGATGGAGAATGACTTTAGCCACTCATAGGAGAGGGCAAAAGATAAGGAGGATTCATTATTTGCGGTACATTTGTATGCAGCAGCTCAACTGGAGTTGCTTATTAAGTGCTGTACTGACACACAATGCAAGAGTGTTCCTTCCTTGAAAGGTTTCAGGTACCCCCTCATGTAAGAGGAGTTCAGGGCTATGTGAGGGGTTGCATGCTTCAGTTACAGCTTATGGCTGTGATGGGACAAATAAGCAGGTGACTGATGTTACACAGTCACACACGTTATTGCACTTCATATCTCTAATACCTCCTTCAGCACAACAACTGAAGATGGTGGTGGTGGGGGCTTTGGGGATGCTGAGTCAGAAAGGCTTCTTGTATGTTGGTTATTTTCCTTGTGGGTGGATTTGTGAGATAGTTGCTTACTTTTGATATTCCCCATCGCTGGTTAGTGATGTGACTATTCAGTGTTACCTCTAAAGTGAAATACTGTAACTTGTTCATTTTCTGTTTTTCTCTTTTATGAGGCAAAGTGAAATAACCAAAGAAACCTCATTTACCCATCTCTGACAACAGAGTTTAGCAAGGGACAAGAACATCACTTGTTTTTCAGTATGATGATAATGAATAAATCACTTCCTTCCCCAGCAGTGAGAATATTGAGCACATAGATGTCTCGACAGCTATTTAGCTACTGTTTAGAACTTCTGTTAATTGGAAATGGCCCCTCAGTCAATATATGCCACTGTCTCTATTGGGTTACTTGGAACCAATTTCTACCAACTAAAGATTCTCTAGAAATGTTTGCTAGTAATTTGCAGGAACTAATAAACTAATGTCATTTTCAGTAAATATTTTATTACGGCATTTCTTTTCCCAAATTAAGTAATAAACAATTTATTTTCCTTATGTTCCACAGCAGAGAAGATATCAAGTTAGATTCTATATTTAGTGTTAGTTGAGGCTTCTTGCATGGCTTACAGAAAATAATACGTTGAATTTGCAGGAATTGAAATGGACTGCTCTCTATTTAAACAAGTTTTTTATTCTCTTCCTCTCCTTGCTAAGTTTCATGCAATGGATACCCTGCATAAACACAACTATGATTTGAGCAGTGCCATCAGTGTTCTGGTACCTCTTGGAGGGCCTGTCTTGTGTAGAGATGAAATGGAAGAGTGGTCAGCATCAGAAGCTAGTTTATTTGAAGAGGCATTGGAAAAGTATGGCAAGGACTTCAATGACATTCGACAAGACTTTGTAAGTACAAAAGTAGTACACTTCTCTGTTACTGTGTTTTTGTGTGGCTGAGTATAGCTGCTTTCTGTAGGTTTGCAAGATTAGCTAGAGCAGAAATCTGTGTAGCTGATATATGTAGTTAACTTTTGGATACATTTTATTTGAATGGAAGTCAGTATGCATTCTCGTTTGATGCCATTCTTTGGAAAGATGTTGATAGAAGATAATCTGTTTAATGGTTTAATACCAGGTAGTGTGTCTCATGCTGATGTGTTTTGAGAAGGATTTTTTCAAGGATTTTACAGGCATTTGAAAAAGTTTCAGCAGCTTTTCAGAACTTTTCAATAATTTCCAGTGAAGTTCATTAGCAGCTACATGGCTGACTCCCCTGAGTGTTTTTGGAAAGCTGGAGTTTCCTTCTGTGGCTAGTAGAGAGAAATTTGTATTCAGATAGCTTTTGAAGTTCACTACAGGGAGTTATTTTGACGTATTAGGTATTTTGTCACTTGTGAAAAGTAGAGGAAATGTTTTCCAGTATGTACTAGCTACACTGGTTTTGGTACCAAAGTATCAGACTGTAGGGCCGCAAAGCTTTAATTTGCTGAATTCTAATGCACAGTAATTAAAAAAAAATAGATTCTAACATTGATTGCTAGAATTGCTAGTAATTTGTCTGCAAATTTTTTTGCACATTTCTTGGAGGGCCTCTTTCTTTCAAGGAAAAAGATTTCTTCTGTTGTACTAAGTTCAAGTTGGGCTTCGTGAAAAGGTTAGGATTTGAGCCAAAGGAATTCCATTACTTAACACTGAGTTGACTGAAACATTTTCACAACAGTCTCATTCTGTTGTGAAATTCTCACATTGACAACATTCTCATTCTGCTCTCATCTGAGAGCTCAGATTTTTTTTTTTCTTTGCAGCAAATAATCTTTGTGAGGGGAAAAGAGTACTATATGATAAACATAGAAGTCCTTTCAAGATAGAGTGCGGGACAGTGGGAGGAAGCTTAGCACTGAGTGAAGCTGTCTTTTCTTCACTTTCACAGTTCTGATATGAAACAGATAATTGAATGAAAGAGGGAAGGGAAGGTGATTGTTTTTTCTGAAGAACTGACATTTTAACAGGTGTATTGTGTCTGCATGCTTAAGTTTGAGATTCCTAAGGGAGAAAATACTCACTGTATTCATCACATAAGGTTGAAAACTGCATCATGGATGAAATAGCTCTGAAAATAGCTCAAGAAAATATGAGTGGAAAAGAATCTTTATTAGAACTGAAATCTTAATGTAAACTACAGTTCCTTACTACTTCTTGTACAGATAAATGATCCTCCGCTGTAATTGTACAATAGTTCAGTAGCTATGTCGTGTAACTAAATGTTTCTTAATACATAGAGTTAAGCTTTTCAAAATGCCTAAAGAATGTATTACAGACTTTATTGGCTCTTTACAAGTTGAGTTGTAACACAATTTGTGACAAAGTATATCTAGGCCTTGTCTCTGATATTTATGTAATATTTTAATTTTAGGTACAATTACTGTGTTAGTGTTAGATGTAATTTTGTTGATATGCATATATTAAATCGATACAGTGGAGTAACGTTACAGGAATTGCTTACACGTTTATAATGTTCAAATGTTAGATATTGGAGTGAGTCTACCAGAAGCTCTTCAAAATGTTGTTTTTATCTCGGTTATGCTCGTGATACCCTCCCTC